AAAAAATGGCGTTTTGTTTTGGGGGCCCCCCCCTAATATTGGGACAATCATTGTTTTTTGGGGGACCCCCCTCCCTCCTCAACCATAACGTTATTTATGGATGCCCCCTTATATATAAAATTTTAATTTTTTTGACCCCCTCCTCCTAGAAAATCACCTGATAATTGTTAGCTCTCTTAACTATATTTAATTAATTCAGTAATTGATAATTAATCCATCTATTATTCTTGAATTGGATTCAATCTTTAGATTATTAATGGATACATCTGATCTGTTAAATAATTTAAAGATTATTTTATTAAATGCCGAATAATTATTTAATAAATTGATAGTTTTGAGTTTAACACTATTTATTAAAATGGGATACATATTTGGGTTTTGTTATAAATCTAAACTAGATAGAATTACCGATTCCTAAACCCAAACTAAGTAGAAATGCCATAACTAAAAAAGAGTTTGAGTCGCAACTCTAATTATGGCTCTATCATTTGATGATTATTGTATATAGCAAATATATATAATAATTTTCTGTTCAAATTAGGGTCGTGCCATTTATCACATAATTTTTTTTAATTAAGAGCCTTATCTATCCATGTATGGTGTAATCATATAGTGGAAAATCAGAAGAAAATCGGGCCGGATCGGACCAAATCAGACCAAATCAGGCCAAATCGAACCCTCTGGTTGGCAAAACTGATTAATTTATCTAAGAATTTCCATAACTCATTCATTAAATCAAATATCTAGCTAACAATTTTAATATAGACTCCGTTAGCTAATATTGCTTAATGCTAGCCCCAAAACCAATGCATTTTAGCCCGAAATTTGAAGATTGCTCTGTAAAAAAAATAATTAATACAAGGAAATTTTTAAAATTCTAGATCATAATACAACAGAATTCTAGTTGTAATAAACGCTAGCCCAGCACCAAAGCATTTAATCCGGAATTTTGAAGATTGCCCTGTAAAAAATAAATTTTGCTCAAATAAAAAACTTTTTAAAACGAACCTAAATTTAAAATTTAGAGCTAAAATGCTGATTCGCCAAATTAAACTTTAAAATATTTTAATAATAAATTACAAATAAAAATATAAATCTATAAATTAAAAACTTAACCTTATTCGCCATCATACTATAATGCTAATCCATTATAACGCTATCTGAAATTTTTAAAATTCTAGATCAGAATGCAATGAATTCAAAAGGTGTAAATGTCACAAATTATCATATCATAGACAATCCACCCATTCTAATTAGAATTTTAATTTTTACTAATCTAAATTCCCAGGTTCTTCAATTTCCCACATGTGCATATGAAAATCGCTGTTCACACATTTTGAAAACTGCTGTAAATTTCAAGTATTTCAATCTATAGATCAGAAGAATATATCTGCTTCTCTAAAAATTATGTGCATTTTGCTCTAACTTAATAGACGTAAATTACTATTCACTATGTTGGAATACTTGTAACAGTAGTTAGATAAAATTAGTAACAATAAAGAAAAAAAAAATAAAAGAAAATGACTATCGGGTAGCAAAAAAGTTCAACATGATCAAAAGATAGTACCGTGGGTCTGGTGGCAGGTAGGCACACATGTATATACATATATATGCATGCCATTGTTCATAAATTCAACAATACATATTGATACTATGTTTTAGTTTTTTGGTCACCCGACCAAGTCGGGCAACATAAACATTTAACAATATGATCAAAAAATGGTACCGTGGAACTGGTAGCAGTAGGCGCACATAAGTATGTATATATATACACATATGCACGCTGTTGTCCATAAACTTAACAGTACATTATAATACCATGTTTTACCTTTTTTTTTTGGCCACCCGACTAGAGAATGCGATCCGTTATCAATTTTCTGCCCAAATTAAAATTAATTTGGGCAAAAAATAGATAACAAATCGCATCTCTACACCTGACAAAGTCGAACAAAATGATAGTTCCACATATCAAGGAATGTAGTATCGAAAAAAAATTAGTAATTCCTAATTTGAATTGATAAGACTTGAAATATCGCAATTGTTGTAATCCGCCATAATCTAAAATACTTGAAAGAAACTTTAATAAATAAGGTTTCAAATCTCTAAAATTCAATAAAGTATCTTTGAATTCGAATCACCTCAGATAGAAACAAAATCCTGAGTTATATAAGTTGGATTTTTCTTCTCTCATCTGAAAAAAAAGAAAATGCAGAGTTTTTTAAAACTTTCTAACTTTGATAAATACTTATTTTATAAACCTCCATTTGATTTGTATCAAGAATTCACCAATGCCTACGCCTATTATAAGCAGGCGACCCTTTGCAACCCTACTCCTAATAAACAAAAATTATTAAGTGAAGCCTGAACAGCATGGAAGGAAATAAAAAAGGAAAACGAAGTAGCTATTCATGAAAAGATCCAATCATACTTAACTACAGTTTCCAGCACAATTCGCACACAACGTAACTTTATAGTAAACACCAACTCCAACATAGTATTTACATCCACGGTGGCTTTGTCATCATCTTTTTCATCAGTAATTTTACCACAACTTGATAATACTGATGCCATTGCGAAAAATGCAGTAGGCCAACGAGATACAATAGCTAAAATCAAGGAAGCAACTCAATGAATATTAGAATGTGAACAAGCAGTCAAAATTGTTAGTGACCAAGATATTAAAAACGAATTATCAGCAAAAATTAAAGCGGATTGTGTGATTATTAAAGTAAATAAAAAAAGGCTAGGAAAACTTAAACATCATGCAGAAGCTCAAGCTAAACTTAGGGCAAAAAAACAAAAACAACTCGATGATGAAGGTATTGTTGAAAAGTATGACCAACCTGGGCGACCACCAGCAGCTATGTTAAATTCAGATCTTTGAGACAATATTCACGATTGTATAGAATTTGGTCCCGCTCATGCTAAAAGATGAAAGACAATAATTAAAGTTCGTACAATTAAACATTTGTGTGAAGCATTAGAAGAAAGATATAATATTTATCTCTCATGCCAATGTTTGTCTGCATATTTGGAGCCTCGACACAGACACACGTTTGCGGCTCGTCGTCACCACCATCTTGCAAAAGTCAGTCTGGCATCAGTAGCAAAAACCGATATGAAACAACATGTTGATGAACACTATTGTTTGGCATCCGTTAAAGCAGCTCAAATTTTTGCAGCGGTATTTGCAAGTGATACTGTTGTTATTTCACAAGATGACAAGGCAAAAGTTGGTTTAGGTATTCTTGCGGTAGGCTGTACGTTTAAGACTATGCAATCGATAAATGAACCAGTTACTGTTGAAGACCATGATTTTCCTAAAGGAAGTAAAATAAAACTTATACCTGCTTATTGACCCTAATGATTCAAATACTACACTTCTCTGGACAACTTGCTATCTTTATTAGGCCTAAATACTTCGTGGGTACATCTTTGTTGACACATATGACTAATTTATTAAGCCTTGTCAACAACCAAGATTTTGCCTCAGTTTTATTGAAAGAAAATGACATTAGACCAATCTGGGTTCTTCTTGTCGATGGTGGGCCTGACGAAAATCCAAAACATTTTAAGAATATTATTGAGTATTGTAACTTATTCCAGGCTCTAGATCTTGATTACTTAACTGTCTGCACGCATGCGCCGCATCAAAGTGCTTATAATCCTGTGGAAAGAAGCATGGCTTCTTTATCCGAAAAACTTGCTGGTATTACTCTACCTATAGATGAATATAGTGTGCATTTGGATTCTCAAGGGAATGTTGTAGATGAAGAGTTAGCATGGCGTAATTTTGAATTTTCAGAAAATAGATTATGTGAACTTTGGAATAGAGATGATATATATGGTAAACCCGTAACAGTACACTACATCGATCAAATTAGTCAACTGTTTGATGATATTGATGATATTGTATCCCCAACATGGGAATGAATTGAACGTCATGCTCAGTTATGTTGATATTCATTGGATCTAAAGAAATGTAAGAATCGTCAGTGTTGCCGTGAATATAGAGCTCCTGATGTAGCACTTTTACTGGACCAAAATGATGGGTTTCTCCCTCCAATTGCCAAAGGAAAGAATGTATATTATATTAACCTGATACACGTCCTCCAATATTTTGACAAATTAAAGATTCCACAATATGATAGTTCATGCCTATCAATTTCAAAGGAAATGTACCAGCGTTTATGTTGTAGTAAGTGTAGTAAGTATTACCCTACCTTGAAGTTCATTGCAAATCACAAACGTCAACAGCATCCATTCAAACGTGGTAAACCTCGAAAGCAAGTTGATGAAACCTCACTAGCTGTTAACTTGTTAAACTTTAGAGTTGCCGAAGATGTAGTTGATCATAATTTGTTGGAAGATGAGATTTCGAATTCGCGTGAAGTACAATCTGAAAATGAATGGGAGTTAATAGATATTAGAATTTATAACTAATATTCGTTTAGTTAGAATGTTAAGTGTAGTTTTTTTAAACATATAAAAAAATAAATATGTAAGCCTGTAGGCTAACGATCTATATAATCTTCTCTTATACTATAGAATTTGTAATGTCCATATAATTGAGATTTTTGTAAAAAGAAATAAAAAACTCGGGTACTGTACATTAATAGAATATAAAAGAACGGGACACATTAATACAGTATATAAATGATAAAAGACCCGGTTTAATTTTTTATCTAACCAATAATATTTTGTACTACAGTGTGAACCGTAGCTCGTAATCTTGGCTCGGCACTGCTAGTATATATTATATATATATATGTAATCACCAGCTGACCTTATGTATCCCATGGTAGAAATCAGGTGATAAATGGCAGGACCCCGGACATCTTCAATATAGGTCATAACTGATCTGCATAAATTTTGGAGTTTTTGCTACCCCTAAAATCAAATAAATTTGCTAAAAATTCAATTGTTATATATAAACTTTATAGTAATTTGCTAAAAATTAAATTATCACATCTATTTTTAATAAAAATAAAATTAAATATG